GCGGAGGCCTCCAGGACACCGGAAGCGCGACGGGCGGCTGCCGCGACCAGTCGCGAGGCCAGACCTACGTGCGTGGAGGCTGGTACAACGGCCGCTACGGGATCATGTACGCCTGGTACATGCCGAAGGACATGCCGACCAGCGGGGTCTCGACGGGGGCGCACCGCCACGACTGGGAGAACGTTGTCATCTGGGTGAACAACCCCAGCAACGCCAGCCCGACGCTCCTCGGGGGCGCCGCCTCGGGCCACGGCAAGTATAAGAAGACGACCAGCCCGCCGCGCCAGGGCGACCGCCCCAAGGTCGAGTACTTCACCAGCTTCCCGACCAACCACGAGCTGCAGTTCACGGAGACGCTGGGCCGGGACCTGGCGCTCGTGGCGTGGGATTCGCTGCCGCAGGCCGCCAAAGATGGGTTGGAAGGCGCGGACTTTGGCAAGGCAACGGTGCCGTTCAAGGATGCCACGTTCATGAACAATCTCGCTAAGGCGGCGCTTTAGATTGCTTTCGGAGAGAGACTAGCCCCCTCATTGACCCTCTACATCATTCATATGAGGTGTATTGAAGGATTTAGTCTCACCGCTCTTGAGCTCAGAGAACGGTTGTTGTGACTATGAATCTTTTACTGTGTTTTGGGTTGACAGAATATATCTTTTGGGACTCCGTGTTCGGCATCGTTGATTTTCCATACCATCTAAACAAATATAACACTATTGTACTAACCGCTCGGCAGTCTTGGCGCGCATTGAACATTGTTAGCACTTGTCCAGCTCGCCGTGTGCTCGGATTTGATCTTGCTTAACCGTAGCCGACGTAATGGTCAGTGCCGAGCAGCCGAAGCGTCGATTCAGCCCCGGATTTGTAAGCAAAGCAGGCTACCTTTCATACCTTTTCTCTCATTTGCTTCATTCTTCACTCTTTCTCATCGGATTGTTTCATCATTCTTTGGTCAATTGAACAAACGATGACCCGGTCAATTCTGATCACAGGGGTTTCGGGTTACATGTAAGCCAGCCCATGGGCCTGTACTGTACACGACGGTGACCAAAATGCTGACTCGCCTTTCACCTGTAGAGGCGGTGCCATCGTGGCCGAAGTCCTCGAAGCCCAGCAGAACAACGACCTGTCGGGCTGGCGCATTGCAGGACTCGTGCGATCAGAGGCCCAGGCAGCCAAGATCCGCTCGCTGTCTCCAGTCGAACCGATCGTCGTTTCGGATTTTGATGAGTTAGACAAGCTTGAGGAAATTGCCCAAGGGTTCGATGGTAAGAAAAGATGGATGCTGCTTTCATTGTTTGGCTTCTTCGATGCTGATCCTCGAGGGTGGGCAGTCATCATTCATGCCGGAGCAGGCTGGCACACGGCCTCGGCGAGGGCATTCCTGAGGGGACTCGCCATCGGAAAACGCAATCGGGCAGGGCATCGCCATCCCCACTACATTCAGGTATTCTATAGAACTTCTTTCTCCGCCTCCGTACAGAGAGATGGGCAGACCATCCGAATAACATTCCCCCTCGCCTAGATCTCTGGCACCTCCAACTTAAGCGACCGGCCCCACTCGGCGAATTTCATCGAGGATCATATCTTCTCCGACGCGGAGGATGATATCTTCGCCTACGAAAAGGCGCGAGAGGCGCGAGAGGTGTACTACCAGCGCACCACGGATATTGCCGTGGTGGAACTGGGCGAAGAGCTGGGGATCCCTACGCACATTGTGATGGCACCTACCATCTTCGGGCTGTCTAAGGGCTTGTTCAACCGCTTCTCCGTGCAGCTGCCCGCTATTATTGCGGACGCGGTGACGACGGGCCAGGTGAAGGTTTTGGGCGATGGCCAGACCGTCTGGACCCACGTGCACATCGACGATCTGGCCCGCTTCTTTGTGGTTCTGCTCCAACACATCGCCGACGAGGACGTTAGCAGGGAGATCCCCTCTGGCCGACGAGGCATCTATTTTTGCGAGTCCGGCCAACACACCCACCACGAGTTCTCGCAGCGCTTGGCCGATGCGGGGGTGGAGCTGGGAATATTCAAATCGGCGGAGCTTGCCAGTGTCTCGGTGCAGGAGGCTGCCGATGCATGGGCCGGGGGGAATGCAGCTCGGGTCGAGCTGTCATTTGGTGCAAAGTGAGTTTCGCATTGCAGACCCCTTGTGATACCCAGAACCTTTGACTTGTTCTTTCTTCGTTTTCATGGTTTTTGTTTCCTTGGTTCCAGATGCTCTTCCGCTGACTGAGATCCTATGCAGTGCTCGCTGCAAAGCCGTCCTTGCCAGACAGCTTGGCTGGATTCCCAAGCATGAGAAGAAGTGGGCGGAAACCTTCCATATCGAACTCCAGGAGTATGTCGAGCGACCTCCCGACCCTAAGACCCTACCTTTGGTGATGCAGAAGAAGAAGACCTCCACCTGATCGATGGCGTCTGGTCATTCATCACATGCTACTTAGTTATATGCCCCAGCCGATTCTGGGTTTCTTCGGATACCTCTGTTCCCAGCAATCATAAAGCTTCGCGTAAACCGCATTCTCCTTCCTTCAAGTAATCTGTAAATCCGCCACTCCAGCCTTGCCCTGCTACGAACGCATGGGCCTCCTGATCCGTGGTAAGGTAAATAGGATCGGACTATGCACGAATTACACATTATCGGGGAAAGATACCGGCACCGAGCGGTACCGGGTAGATAGACGTTCGCAGCTCTCATTCCGAAATGCCGTCCGCTGCGCGGAACCTGCGCGCATTCGATGGGCTGTTGGGGTAAATGTAAATGTGGAGACGCCAGCTAGCGGAATATGATTTCCGCCAGCCATCAATGATCGGCGTATGACGACGCCTCGCCAATCTTTTAGGAATGCAATTTAGAAAATTCCTTAGAGGGCATTACTTATAGACCTACTGTGCCATTTCTGTACTAGGTACCCGTTTCTCAACTGGCCCGTAAATGATTCGCGTAGCATGGTCAATGTCCTTATTTCATTGTTTGAAGCAAAGCTGCCCTCCAATTTCGCAGTGCCCTGTATTTCTCCTCTCTACTCTAATAACGTCCCCGCAGATATCCGATGACTTGTTAGCCCACTTGCGCATCCCGTTCCTGCGCTGTTATGATTGTATTGTATGCCAGCGTACTGAATAGGATCTCTCGCATGGTAGTGCGTAGATTGTCTGCCAATCGTGAGATGTCCTTATGCCATGCTAATCTATTGCGTAGCAAGAATCCGAAACAGCTGTTTGACAGTCCCTCCCTCGCTTCTATAGCCAGCCCGTGGGTGTTCAGAATCAACTTTCTATATGTCGTGTTTTCTGAAAATGCGCTCGAGGGGGATAAATGGAAATTGTAGTTTGCAGGAATAATCGACGACAGGAATACGGCGACCTGCTCAGGCCGCTGCTGGGGTTTGATTCGCTTGTCCAGGGCTCCGATTAAGTTGTTTGCTCCTTTGAATGGGCACTAATTCTCCAAGCAATTTTGAGATGCGCATGGTACGGAAGTCGAAGTAGTGGAGAAATGATTCCTAGCGGAGAGGTGACAACAATTAAGGAAGCTCCCCACCGCGGGAAGCCTGCGCGCTGCAATCTCATCGATGTTGCAGAGATTTTGAGGTTGGCCAGCAACATCTGGCTCATCGCTTCGAGTATGCCAAGATCCTCTTTAGGTAAGTGGAGCTCACGTGCGAGGAACTCGGCTATTGATTCATGTGCAAATTCGACCCTTGACTCCGAGTTGACGGCCGTTACGGGATTTCAGCAACCAACAGCTCCCTTCGCCGACCACTTAGCCCATGATGGTTTTCAGCCGCTCTTCGTACGCTTTAAGCTTCGCCATCAGGTCTATAATGCGGCTTTCATCCCACACAGTCCCGTAATACCTCGTCTTAACCGTCCACCAGCAGGATAATAGGAAACAATGCACTGGGTCAAGGATAGTCAAGGATAGCTCTGGCAGCTTCTCCTTCATAGTCAGTCAACTTGCTCAAATCGCCCCTATTCAGCTATCTCCTGCCCCGGAAATGCATGTGTGCATGGGGTAACACGAAACTCGTACTGCCTGAATACTGGTCTATCCTGATGGAGGTTACCTTTCAGCCATCTTGTCGCACAATTTATCTCAAGCTTTCCTTGCCAGATGAGAGTAAATCTGTATTAGATGGGTAGTATTATGCTATTAGACTTGTGATGTCAATTCTCACCTTGACCCTGCATGAGTGCTTCAATTGCTTCTGCATTCCGATCGGCAAATATGTACAAGGTCCGGCCACAGGAGATATGAGAAGTCCAAAGAAAAAAAGACTCTCTTTCGCTTGCAGCTCAAGCCGATTTCCAAAGTCAGTATCTGAAGTATCATGAACCGTGGATTTGATCGGCTACTACCACTACTGCGAGGTGCGCTCATCTGACAGGATGAAAGAACTTTCAAGATCTTCTGCAATCACCAATTAGGGACCCCCATTGGATTGCGTGGGAACAAGGTATGCCTTTTCTGCGAGTAAAAATGTTTCTCAGACATGGATGACGGCGGGGCTACTACCCATACCACGTAATACCCACAAGTCTGCCAGGACTACGGTACATCAATCGGGTCATGGTTATCATCTTCAACAAAGGTGCTTTGTTCCTCGTTTCCAATCATCTGTTGTTATGATCCTGTGATCAAAGACTATTGTTACACAATAGGATTATATGATTCTTGCTTCTTTGTGCGGCTAGTTGTATTTCTGCATTGTTTCTTAAAAGAATAAGATAACTGGATGAGATACCAAAAGCTGTTGATAGATGATCACCGACTGGAGCTCGATTGTTCCTTATCAACCCTCTTCTAATCATAAGTCTCTGCCTTTGGCTTTGTTCCTGCAACCTCTAGATATCTTCCAGCCCCTACGACATTTTCGCGGTATAAATACCGCGGTCGACCCCTCAACGAGATCCTGATATCCTGCCTCAACCACACCCCCTTACAGAAGAACTTCACTCAGCCAGATTCCAGTACTGACATACCGATAGCCACCATGTCTCGCCAAAACGAGACGAAAACCTTTGAGGAAAAGCTTCAAGAGCTCCAGGAGCTCCGAGAGCTCCGGGAGCTCCGGGAAACGCTATCCAGGATCCGCGAATCAAACTCTGACCAAACTCGAGATCAAGAGCAGAGGCAGGATCCCGCTTTGCTCGAAATGATTGATAAGTGTGTAAACAACATCGAAGAAGTTGAACAGTGGGTGAAACTGTGGACAAGGATGTTGCAACTCCGCGTTCCAGAATTAGAAGAAAACACAGAGACGGGTAATATCTAGTCTCAGGTGCTTTGAATGCTGCAAAGGCGGCCTGTAAGCGGAGACCAGTGGCAGTCGAGATATGACGATCTTTGTCGGACTTTCGACCTGGAGCCCAGGCATCCTAACGACGGCCCTGGGTCTTGGTGCCTGAGGTTGCAATCCCACCGCCCAGCCGGCTGTCTTTGCTAAGGTAGTTCTCTTAAATAGTCTAATATAGAAGAAAATTCTTCTATATATATTCAGAGGTGTCACCAGATTCTAAGATTTTGCTCTCTGTAATGTATTCTTTCATTCTTTCTTATCAATATTATACTTGGCCAATCCAATGCGGACCTTTCTTGCGTTTAATTGCTATATTCACCAAGTGAATTAACAGCCGTTTGTTTTCATTATGTTGCCTGCGATCCTTCAACTTTTTAAGAATATCGGCTTCGCCTTCTGCCATATCCCTCCGCCTTCAAAAGAACCATGTAAGTAGATTGATTTCAAGATAGCTAGATAGAGAGATTTATTACCTAGTTATAGTATTATGATTCCTTCAAGGCCTCGACTGGCAAGCTTGGTGATATATCCTACTACGATTCTCAGCCTATCCAAGAATCGAGCAATCAAACAGACTATCAATACAAGTATTATCAAATTGATATATCTATTCAGAACCGATACTTCGCCCAGTAGAACGCCTACAGCTCTATTAATAAACTTTTTCTATTTATTTCCTATACCGCCAGGGATGAGGTGGTAGCAGCGGATTACCCTTATGACGAGCACAAGATCTTCCTCACAATCGACAGGCTCAACAAGCTCGACCCAGCCGACCATCCCAGAATGATTCGGGCGTTAAAGGACTGGGTACAGGCCAGGCCGCACAATGTGAAGATCTGTATCTCCAGCCGCGGCGAGAAGGCGTTTCAAGAGGCTTTCGAGTCATGGCCCGGGTACAATATCGATGGAGTCAACTTGGTTGATATGCTTTGATATGCTATGGTATGCCCGTGCAGAGCCCTTACTCCAGGCCTTTCCGCGTATGACCAAGTTAGTGTCCCCAGATGAACCATATAAGCTAGAGTAAAACATGGTAAAGAGGGCCGATGGCTCGATGCTATACCTCCTCAAGCTCGTGCGAGGCCTGATCAGGGAGGAAAGTCGTTCCTGTGGAAGTATCGAGGAGATCGTAGACGCTCTTACCAAATGCATGCTCCGGTACCGAGGGAGCTATGACTCAGATATGCTCTGCCCGCCGCGCGATAAGGATTAATATCATCCTTCTGAGGATATATGCTGGTCGAAGGTTGGTTTTTCGCAATCAATTTGGACTTTTAGGTTTAACTTCAGGGTTGGCGCACACCTCTCCTTATAATATCTGGTCTTGTTATCAAAGTACTTACCCAGAGAGCAACTCACCATGTTTCAGCCTCCGCAGTCATAATGCGAGCATCCCTTAATATGGTTTTCAAGACATATTACATTCCTCGAATCTTGGACAGACCAACGAAATGCCGTGGTCGTCTGCTTTTTTGTCCTTCAAATGATTTAAATAATGGTTATAGTCTCCCCGTACAACTAGAGCCCACCATTCCCTTTACAGATTACTCCGACAGCAACCTCTTCCACCCTGATCTGCAGCAGCAGTCTCACTTGCCTCCTTCTTCTTCACAAACTCGAACTCATTGTCATTTAGGTATTCTTCTTAGAGGCGGTGCTATATGGTAATGCAGACTAGATAGCAATGGCGGAAGGTCAAGAACGCCATTAATCGAAGTAAGCACTGTTGTACCCGCACATATACCTCGACAACGGCTAATCGACTGACAGCTCAGATCAGATCCACGGGGATATATTTGGACCAGTCGCCCTTTACCTTCATAAAGTCCAAGGGCTCCATGTGCTCGACGGACCCACCGTACGGTCGGCTCACGGCATAACCTAGGAACCGCTGCACCGACGTAGGGTACCTCTCGACCACCTCCCACGGCACCGCGAGGTATTGGTTCTCCTCCTGGCGGCGGTATCCTGCGGTCGCGGTCGCGCTCAAGAGCACGGTGTCTTTGTCGGTGGTGTTTGCCGCGCGCCCGAAGTAGGTAGAGCCCAGCCTGACAGAGAGATCGTCAGTTCTATGAAAGCACGCAGCATAGTGGGTATCAGACTCACCAAAGCAAAGCGTCGCCTTTGCGCAACTCGACGAGATATTCATCCTCGGGGTTGGGGTCCCGCGAGTCCGTCCAGTGATTGGACCCGATGACCACGCGCACCGCACCGTTATCGCGGGTGAGGTCGTGCGCAGCGTACATGATCCCCAACTGGGCTTCGCGCTTGGCTGGGTGGGAAATGTGGTGGCATTCGTCTTGACGACGAAGGCCCCAGGGGAGGCTGTTCGGTTGGGCAGACAAGATTGAGGTCTGCGAGACCTGGGGCTCTGAGATTGACACGGTCCGTTCCTGCTCATAGTATATGATACATGCGTCGGTGAGGATTCGGTTGCTGAGATCGAGGTACAGGGGATTCATCAAGAGCTGGGTCGCGAAGGCCACACTCTTGGCTGCCAGTGAAAAGGTCTGTCCATCAGGGAGAGTGCCGACTTCCTCCAAGACGGCGTCGATGGTCTCGCGCGTGGTGGCACCCTCCACAATCACCACGCCGTCGGCCTTGAGGTATTGGTGGATGATGTGCGGGTCTGCAGCGGCGGCCGAGAAATGCTTAACAGCGGCGGGCATGGCGGTGGAAGACCTGGGCAAGTGCTAGAATGGACGCGTTTCGTGTAGATGGTTACTTGGTAGGCGGGGTAAATAAGGTAGACGAGATCAAGGATTAAGTATTTCCAGCCCCTGCTGATCCTGATTATAAGTGAATGGTTGGCTTATAGGCGTAGGGTCGCCCGAGAGTCGGCATTCGCCACGAACGGCCACATTGAGTGTTGATAGCCGGCAATCATTATTGCGCTAACTCTCGTGCTGAGAGGTGGTAATTTCGTGGGAAACGCATTGGTTTGAGCCACGCGAAATTGATGACCTGGGAGATGTGCGATATCCTATCGATACCTCAAACGTACCGCGATTGCCGAGGCTATGATGACCATTTTCGGCCTCGCCCCAAGGATTACGGAATAACCGCAATACGACAAGAATAAATAGTCCAAGGAAGGACAAGGCTCAAGACATCGAGTTACAGCACCAGCCCCTACCTTCTGTATATCCCAACACACAGTATGCCTAACCCCCCTCACCAGGCTGGAAACCCCGAAGTGGTGGAGCTGGATGCCACAGCCCCCATTGAAGCCATTGTCAACATTATCCGGCGAGACGGCGGCATCATCATCAAGAACTTCCTGAGTCCGGAAACCATCGACCAGATCCATGCCGAGGCGCAGCCCTACTGGTCGAAGCTTGGGACCTATGTTGGGAAACTCTTCGATGCCGCGGATCCCCCCCTCAGCGGTTTCGCAGGGAAGTCCCCGACCTTTGCCCACCAAGCGATCAACCACCCCACATTCCGCGAGACTGCCAAAGCGCTACTGAAGGAAGAATCGTGAGAGTTTTGGTCGTCTCTATCTTGTACTTCTTGGACTCACCGTTGTTTTAGAAATGTGTATCGCGATGGGAAAAGGTACCACACGGTCTCCTACCCCGTCTTGGCCGTGTCGGAGGCCTTCAACCGCGGTTCTCCCTCAACCGCCCAGCAGCTCCATCGGGACGACATGGCCCAGCACTTCGAGCATCTGGAAGAGAGCGGAGAGAGCTCCCTCCTCGGTCTGCTGGTTGCGGGGGTGGTAAGCAGGATTCTCTCCTTTCCGGACGAAGCATTTCCCAGCGAAAAAACCCGAACGCGCAGCTCATACAGGCCAATTTCATCTTTCTAGGACACGAACTTCGACAACGGCGCCACTCAGGTCATTGTCGGCTCCCACAAGTGGCCCGAAGCATCCATCTGTGGCCCCGCGGATCGATCCCTCTGCTCGACCTGCGAGATGAAGAAAGGCGACGCGGTGTTCATCATCGGGAGCATCTGGCACGGGGCGGGTGAGAACCGGACAAACCCGCCCGAGCGCCGCATCATCTACTCCTGTCATATGACCCGGGGCTCCCTGCGCGCAGATGAAAATCAATACCTCGGGGTGGACTTGGATGTGGTCAAGACCTACCAGCCGGAGGTCCAGGCCTTACTGGGATACTCGGTTAGCCACCCCAGCTGTGGTCACGTGGGCATGAAGGATCCGATCACGCTGTTGGGAAGCAGGGAAGATCCGTTCGGCTATGGTGACTTCCACGGCCAGGTGGCTGGCGCAGCCTCCTAAGGCAAGATCTTCGTGTGCAGTTGTTGGAACTGGTACGTTGAAAGGGAGGGTGTTGCTTAAAATTTGTTCGGTGGAGCTTGACTTCACAACGCTATTAAAGATAGTTGTGCAAAGTAGTATTAGGCTTGCCGAATCTGATGCTCTCGCTGTTTCTTCTCGAGGTGAATATTTCAAATTTTTCTGCAAATCTGTAATCAATACTCATTGTAGTACCACCTGCATAGCTATTAGCGTATATCAGAAACTCATTGAAAGGGAACTCCTAGATTATTCAATGATGATGCATTTGCATCGGTTAACTGTCATCACTGGAATAGCTTTATAATTCTCCATACTTCTGTGGTATTCTTTCTAAGTTCTATCACTAACTTGACATTTATTGCGCGTGTACATAAATTCTTGATGTCACGGTATCTGGCAAAATTGTCTGTGAACTAGCCGTCGACCTACAAGGGACTAAACCAGGCATCAAACCCTGAGGCCGCCTAGCGACAAAAGCATGTCGTCTTGGGAAACAACCTAGTCCGGGACTGTCACTCAAGTTGATTTCTACAGGGATGCACAAGTCAAATCAGATGGAACTACCAACTGGCAAAGCTTCGGGTCTTCTTGCAGCACGGCAAACTCACCTCAGACTCTTTGTTTTTATTGCTGGGGGAACAAATGGCAAGATTACCCATAACATTATAGAGAATGCCACCATAGATCTTGTTAAAGGAGAAGACCTAAATCTCTGGAATCGAGGATTCTCGCCCGTGAACAGAGGGCGCGGTGAGGGATCTGACATGCCTAGCCCTATTAGCGGGGTTGATTACACATATGGCAGGACCTGACTATACCGGTGATCGAACGAACGGGTTTCTAAGGGCCCTATGCAAACTGCGGGAGGATGCCTGGGTGCCCTGGAGTAATTCTACTCTATCATCATACTTCAAGTTATTCACTGGTTGCATGGTTCTGGGTATCATGGGTGATAAGAGCTATTTGTACTATCTAAGGTGAGCGGCAATGACGGCCTGTTTGGGTTAAGCCTGCCGATAGCCCTGGCTGGGCCTGCCTCGCCACATGAACTATCTTTCACTTGGTTATTAAAACTGTGGGATTAAAACTATGTGTAATTATGGAACAAAGGGGCGGGCAAATATTTTCCGCTCAAAAAGCTTATGGCTAGGATAACGAGATCATGAAATGTTTTTCCCAGCCGGCGCGGGAAGGTTGTAAGATCCGTCTCTATTGCGATTACGACTTGGGGCGCCCGACTACCCATAGCATTCGTAGCTGCCATGCTAACACAAAGTCGCAAGCCCCCTTGCACCAGTCGATATAGGGTGGAATTATGGTCATTCCAAAAGCTGGGAGCTTGCTGCACATGGATTAGAGTCTGGATATGGGCTAGGATCTGACCCCTGCGCCGCTCGCATATATCAGGTCGTTGGGCCACGGGTAATGGTTTGATAATTCAGTTACAGTATGTACAGCCTTCAACTAGGGTTACTTGAGGAGCTTATCTTGAGCTATATCAGTGCTACCGGGCGATGCAGTATAGAGGGATATGACATTTCTATATTTGAAAGGTAGTTGCCAGTCTGAATCGTCACCTCCACCGCGGTTTGTAAGGCGGGCTGTTCTTCTAACGCGAGCGAATTGTCTCTTACATACATTGCCCTTATTTCTTGTTTGCCTTCTTCTTCTCTACCTTAATGAGCCCAGGGATGGAAAGTATGTTCCATGGTGAACTTTCCACTGGGTCACATATCAACACCCAGTAAATGATACATAGTTTTGACCAGTTGAGACGTTTTTTGATTTCTAATTTTTCCGCCCCCGTGGAGTCTCCAATTGCTTCGTAACTCTCCAGTACCTGAAGGGTTGTTCAAATGTCGGCTATGGGGCCAGCAGTGGGCGTCTGCTCTGAGTCCCAATCCTCACGGTCGACATGGCGTAGTCTCACGAATGCCAGATCCAAGACCAAGGCCGAGATCGAGAGAGCGGCACCAAACCAGAGGGCAGCCCTATAGCCCGCGACTTCAGACTCCCGGTGCTTCGCGACCTGCACTTCTATGATCCCCGCAAACCCGAGTCCCAGGCTGTTGCCGTACAGATTCAACGTCCCGATCAAGCTACCCGCAACCCCCTGCTCGTGTTTCTGGACGCTATTGCTAGCAATGATCTGAGCGGCGACGTAAACAAAATCGGGGCAGAAACTGCCGAGCACGGTCGAGGGGAAAACCTGGGCCCAGTACAGCTGCTGCTCCGGCATGGTCGCTAGCAGCATTGTAGACGCCAAGGAGGCGAGGCACCCTATAGCGAGAATATACTGCGCCTCCAGGTGTGGGATCAGCCAGGCCGCACCCGTCACCGCAATTGACGCGCCGAGGCCGTAGGGAATCCACCCCACTGCGACATGAAGAACCGTCCAATCGCGGATCAGCTGTTCCCATGCCACCATGTACCAAAGTGAGATTCCAACGGACATGTAAATGAACAAAACGACCAGGATCAACGCCTTGAAACTGGGGGCCTGGAAGACGGCCACCGGCATGATCGGCTCCGCGGCATACCAGGTCTCCCAGACGAAGAAGAAGACGATCATAACCACCGAGGAGACTAAAATCACAATAGTGCTCGGTGATTCCCACCCAGTGGACGGCGCTTGACTGGATTACGATGATCATCAGTTATAGACAATGGCAGGATTGTGGAGGGGCCACCATACTTCCACGAAACATTGAACAGAATAAGCCCACCCAGGCCAAGCACGGCGCCCACGTAGTCCACTTTGCCGTCTTTTGCCAATCGCTCTTCGCGCGGGGCGGCAAAGAAAAGACCCCCAAACGCTGCAGTGCCCAGACACGCACTAAAGCTGTTTCAGTTCTGGATGTGGGTTGTATAGTATTGGCCGTTTCTTCCGACCATCGCAAACTTACATAATTACGAAAATCCATTTCCAATCGGTAGACTCCAGGATTGCCCCAGTGATCAGTGCCCCGATCAAAGCGCCTATGGGCGGTGACGCTGCAAAGAGGGCCAGGGTGTAGTTCCGGGCTCTGCTCGGTGGGATCATGATGGTAAGCACCGCCACGGCGTTAGGCATGAGAATACCCCCTCCGATCCCGGTCAGCGCACGCATGGCGATGAATGAAGCATACGTGGTGCAGAATGCGTTGCAAATCGAGAAGATGACGAAAATCGCTCCTCCCAGCAAAAGAAGTCTTTGGTGGCCATAGATCGCTCCCAACCGACCGCTAATCAGAACAAATGCACTTTGAGTAAGTCTGTTACGAAAATTGTCAACTGAGGTTCTCCGGTCTAGCAGCCCCGCTCTCGGCCGTCAGTGTCCTAGAGCATGCGACAAGTTTCCAAGTTCAAGGTTGCATTTCAATCCTTCCATTTCTGGGGCACCTACCCATATGCGGCAGGCATCCAGTTCGCTTGTGAAGCTCCGACTTTCCGCCCGAGTCGAGCACTGAATTCATAGCCTCCAGCTACGGTGGAGAACATTGAGGTAAACTGGGAGAGGAAAGCGTCGATGTTAGACAGTTTTCAGGATATACGGAGAAGAAAACTCGCAAGGATGGGATTATTTGGGTGCGTGAAGGGTGCAGACCTGGATCAAATTGCACAGTAGAATGAGGCAAGTGACGAGTCTCTGCCTAGCTTTTCCCAGAGGGGCTGAACAGCCGGTGTCTAGAGGCTCCCTCTGTCGAGTTTCTGAGGTCACAACCCGGCTCACAATTGAGAGGACGTCATCCCCGTACCCTTCACGGGCCGCCAAGGCTTCAGGGTTCCGCATGTTTCTATAAGGGAGAAGGCGACGGCGAAAGAGTCTGGAGATAGAACAGAATGAAAGGACGGTCCGGGAGATTCATATCCTGCCCAGATTATCAGGACTCACATGTCCTACAATTGATGCAAAAAAGGCTTGCGATGCGTTGCGATGCCGGGAGATGTTCTACAGTGCAGAGGCCATCGGCTAACACCACCAAATCGGGTTAGATTGACCCTATTCCCATCGACAGTTCACTCGGGATATCCATCCAGGCTCCAGTGTGGAATATGTTATATACGTGAATCATTTTCTCTACAAAATCCTGAGAAAAGGTTCTTATGGTACGCCTTGAATCTCTACCTTTTTTTCTCCCTGTCTTGGCTCTTATTTTTCCTTTTTTTTTTCTCTTTTTATCGCTACGGAATACTTTTCTTCTTCATTTTTTTTTGTCTTTTCGTTTGCGAGATGGAAATCCGAAGGGTTCCAAAATCATGTCAAATCTTTGAATTTGATTACATTCACTAGCAAGTACGGAGCACGTCAGACGTGCTGTATATCCAATAATGAAGTGGATCGAAGCTAGTCTACCCTTATCTAATCAGGCTCCGCGGAGCTTCTATAAGAGGGCATCTTTACCGATAAGGCGGGGTATCAACTTTCTTCCCCCGCTCAACTGATCACGATAGCCTGGCCTGTCAGATCGCTGCAGTGGCACACGAGAGACACCCGTTATGCCTAACAACCATGACGATAATCTGCTTAGAAAGAGATCCAGAACTGGTAGGCTCTCTTCCTGTAAGCTGACGGTTCATCCTAACTCCCTCCAATTTGACACATTCGGACTGTTCTAGGATGCTGGACTTGTCGAAAACGACATCAGAAGTGTGACGAGCATAAGCCAACTTGCATGAACTGTCGCCTGCGTGGGGTCGACTGCGGAGGGTATGGCATTATGTTGACCGACTTTACAGCCCGTGGCAATCGGACAGGGCAGATGGTGTCGAAGATGAAGAGAAACCGACCCGCTGACCACGAAGTGGATGTTATTCCGCGGGCCTCACGACCGAGTGCCACATCAGGATTGGAAAGCATGGAAATTGGTGAAAACTTGAAATCGCCTTTTGAGCTGATAGACGACTCTCTGTTTCTGGACCTCGATTCGCGCTGGGATGAAGATCTGGACTGGATTGTATCTGCTGAACCTGAGGCGCAACGTAATGCCCTCACGCCTCCCACCGTGGCTGAAGTAGCAGGAGACTGCTTTGTAGATACTGCGCACTCAGTGGAGATGTCGACTCTCGACCCTTCCCTCCTATTCATGCATGAGTCAACAGCCCTGCCACCCATTCCTCAGGATCCTTTTGACCAGTATCTATTTACCTACTGTGAGTCGCAGTCCCCCCTTCGTGACTCCATCTGCCGAAAGATTTGGTAACCTTTTTCTTCCTTCCTAGATATGGAGACCCTTGCTTTGCGACTGTACCCGGTCAAAAAAGACCAAAATCCCTATCGAACAATATATGGGGCTCTTGCAACGGAGTCAGAACCTCTATTGAAATCGATCATGCTAGCGTCTGCACTCCATCTCACTAAACAAGGACGGTTACCCAGGTTTGCCATCAAGCCCTACCGCATGGCAGTGCAAGAGTCATTCCGCGAGGCCTTGAAAAGCCAAGATGAGGCGTGGAGCCTGGGAGTAACTGTCCTTCTCTCCGTTGTCTTTGATGTATACCGTCTTCTTCCCGTCATGCAGAAAACGCATTAACTCTCCACAGATCATCGGTACCGGATTGGCGACATGGAGCTCGAAGCTTATAGGCTGTCGTCGACTGTTAGAAATCGCTTTCTCGGCTTCAACAAGTACCAAGACGCTCACCGGCCTGCATTGTGTCCTTCTTCAATACAACTGGGCAGTTACGATGGGCAAGACCCTGGTTAGAGGCTTGGTACCGGAGGAAACTCTCAACGAGCTTAAATGCATCGATGAATGTGAGTCTCGCCCTACCAATCTAGTTTTATACTTGATACTGCAGATAGACTGACGGCACGCCTTTCGTTCTGGCAATAGTACCATCTCGAGGCAGCTCCACCGAAGGGCTAGAGATGGCCTCCCATCAGCGTCAATGGTGGGACAACTTACCCGACTACCAGATGCATCTCTTCCTGCGCGAGGCGACCGATTATTCCCTCGCTGTGGCTCGGATCAGCGCTACCGAATCAAAGGACGAGATGTTGCGGTTGATGCCCCGGGTCGCGGATTTGGTCAACAGGATCCAGGGATGGCACCCGAATATATCCACGGTTCCTGAGGAATTCGTGAGCTCAATTCAGCACTTCAATTGCATCTGGAAGGTGGGCATGCTGTGTTTTGTGTACAGCGAGATATATGCCCTCGGGCCCAATGACGATCTGATCAAGGACTTGGTGCAGGCTTCCATGGAGCCGCTGGATAAGTTGTCTTGGCTCCAGGCTTGTTTGTTCCCTGTGTTCATGATTGCCCTGCATGCTCGGACCGAGCAAGCACACTCAAGGTTTGAGGCGAAGTTGAATGAAATGCACACCGTTTTAGAATTTCAGGGACCGCTTTCCGTGATATCGATTCTGAGAGCCATATGGCAACAGACGAGTGCCACTCACGAGGGTAGAGTGCAATGGAGGGAGGTTATCAGGGAACTAGGAGCGGAGATCAACGTTTTACTTTGATGGGCTGATTATCTCTCATGTTTCCGTGAGACTTGCCATGGAGAGGATTGCAGCCATTTTATGCACTTAGCTCAAAAGCCTTATTGTAGGCCCCAACTGCCTTATTTTTCAGCTTTCCTCGCCCATAACACGCTTTTATAGGAAACATTATCTCGGTGCAAAAACGCTGATCAATCTAAAAGGAGTCCAGAGGCCGACCATAGAGCTCACTCCCTATGCACGTAATGGCCGCCCGAGTAGGAACAGATGAATGAAGATTGTCACTTCACAGGTCAAGTTATCAAAATAAAATCTCCAGTAAGTTGAGCAAATAATCACGTACATGCGGCCGGACCAGCCAAGTCAAGACATCTTCATGTTTATTGGCCTGCGATAGAACTTTTATAGATTGCTTATCAGTGGCAAAGGTCTCATAGTTCAACCTTTCCTTTCTTGTCTCTAATATGCTATCAAGATATCTTATCATCTCTGATAGGGAGCAGGATGCCAATACCGAATGTCGGCCTCCTTTCAGTTCGGTGTAGTGAGCCAGGGAACTAAATAGCACTTTCCTCTTTAAAGGCAGACAGATAAGGTGATGATCCTTTCAAGCGTCAAGCAAATCTGCGAACAGAACTCACCAAGCCCCCGTCGCTATGTCTCTAGAACCTGAAACACAGTCTCCCCATATATTTGGTCTCTGGAGCGCGATCGGTCTAGGGTGGCTGACCCTCAATGTCTTTGGAACTCTGTCATTTATCATCGTCGTAGGGCTACCGGCCGGCGGTGTCCCGGTCATTCTTTACGGATTGTATGTACAGTCCCACCTAGCCAGCCGGAGAAAGTTTGGCGCCCTGTCGTTTTTCGCATCTGACCGTCATGTGGACAGCATCGGCTCCAATATCGCGGTGATCTGCATGGTGATGACCTTTGCCCAGTGTGCATCAAGGTTCTCTACTGCAGGTAAGCAGTGCATGGTTACCTTAATATAGATGTACTACACAGCTCCAGATCAGCTCATCTAAGACCAGGCGGCGCCTATCATTACGCATGTTTTCTGATTCCTCTCCAATACCGCCGCCAAATAGCGTATCCTCTTGGCTGGTTGAACTATCTCGGCTGGATCTTTACCCATGCGGGCGCATGCGCCATTGTTGCTACCTTGACACTGGGGCTGGTCAAACTCTGTAACCCCGAAATTGACATATCGCCTCGCTGGAAGCTCTTCGTCGTCTACATCTCCATCAATTTCCTATGCTGGCTGTTCAATCTCGTGGCCGTTCGCGGCATTCCGACGTTGGAACTCCTGGGCTGTGAGTCCCACAAGTCATCTGGCTTAGGTAAAGCCCCGGGAAAGTTATTATGACTAACGTGATGTCTACAGGCTATGCGACAGCCTTTGGATTTGTGGCTTATACTATCGCTCTACTGGTGAAGGCCCCAAAGGCTGATTCGAGCTCTGTGTTCACCCAGGTCAACGATGAGACGGGGTAAGCAAGCAATCCATCGTTTTGCCATGTGCCCCTCCTCCAGGACAGGAATTGCTAAAATCCGATTTGCTAAAGCTTCCATTCGCATGGCTTCGCGATTTTACTCGGGCTGGTCAATAGCTTCGGAACCATGATGGGGTTGGATGGACCAGCCCACCTCGCAGAGGAATTGCCCCGGCCGAAAGTCCTGCTCCCTCGGATCATGATGATTATCGTTCTTTCTCAGTTCCTCGTCGGGCTGGTGTGGATTATTGTCTTGGGATTCTCCATTACCGACGTGTCCGCCATCACAAGCAGCGCCACAGGGTATGCTGGATTCTTCTGTCCTTCCCGATCCACCCCCAAAACTCACTTCATGTACTGTACCTCGTTGCTAACGGCGATCACGCAGGGTGCCTGTGCTGGAGATTATCCGACTAGGCACAGGAAGTAATGCCGCCGCCATCGTGTTTTGTCTGATTTTGATTATCAACAATGCCACCTCGGCGTTGGGCAGCGCGGTAACCATGAGCCGACAGGGCTATGCGTTCGCCCGAGACGGTGGCCTTTTTTGGAATGCTCAGTAGGTTCTTTGGGATTCTTGAGGTTAGAAAGGTCACTTGACATTAGACCCCTAACAAATGATACTCTGGGCTAGGCTCGCCAAGCGCTGCTTAAACTCCAATCTTCCATTTTGGTCGATTACCCTGCCGTCCCTGATTTGCGCTCTTGTGGGATTGATGTGCGTATCATTTGAAGACGTCCATCTGTCGCGCAGTGAGATACCCGATCTGACACAAAGTCCAGTTATCTCCTTTCCAGCTCCGCCTACAACGCTTTCGTCGGCTCTCAAGTTACCTGTATGATAATCAGCTTCGGTATGGCATCAGCTCTGGAAACCCCTAGCGACCTACGACGGGCGCTAATTGGCAAGTTATGCAGGCTCTCCGGCCCTTATTCTTCTTATCACCAGAGGCCAACTGTTGCCCGAATGTGATCGATGGAATTTTGGGGCCTGGTCCACCCCGATCTATCTCATTTCGGCGCTATACTCGATCCTGGTTGTCGTTGTTTCTGTCGTAAGTCTCATACCCGTGACTATCCCAGAGAACCACGTCCTTGTATAGTAGCCCCGATTTATTGACAATGGGTGTAGCTCCCTCAGTCCCATCCAGTGACCACTTCCAATATGAACTACACGGCTCTGGTGATGGGCTGCTTGGCATTGGCGATGACACTTGCGTGGATGTTTGAAGGGCGCAGATTATTTTCACCTCCGACAAATGACGATGTGTTGGCCGGGATAGTCCCAACATTGAGCGGGATAGAGCCGGACCCTGAGGCAGGTGAAGAAAAGGCATCTTCGTTGACTAAACGACCGGAGTTGGGAAAGGAAGTATTCATTACGCCCATCACACTATAGTACATGCTGCTCTGAATTGAGCTACGAGTACCTCGACAGTCTGCCAGGATTATGATAATAGTGAGCCATATATGTAGCTCATCCGCCGTAGGTCAAATTCAGTCCCACGCAATTGACCTGTTGTCCTTGAAAATGAAAATTTTAAAGTCATCTCCTCTGCAACCTCTTCTTCAGCCTCTTGTACTCGTACAAGGACTTCTGAAAACACAAGTATGCTAATTAGACTAGAGTGTTGTATGTATATATTCCTTTGTGATTTTATATAGCTCGTGTATGCCAAATTAAATAAGTGCGGGCAAGTACCTGGAGGAGCAAAAGGCGGCACCAAATCAGGTCTAAAGCGGAAAGGGAAAGTTACCTAGTAACTTAGCCAGTAGTAGTAACAAGTCACTAGGTCCACAGCACTAACTTGAAGGTCAATCTAGTCTAGGCTCCAAGCGAGGGTCTTCCAGGCATCCTTTGTGTGGACCCTTAGCGTCCCGCCACCACCCGATCCCACCAAAATAAAAGGCCACATCGCACCCCTTTTACAAGAAGAGAAAAAGAAAAACACTCCATAATATCTCCAGTCGCTTCCACTGCGACACCCTGAAATCTCAACACCCATCACAAATGGCCACTCTTCCAATCATCTCCAAGGCCATCGTGGTGCTATTCCTGACCTCGTGGACCTTAACCGCTTTATCCTTCACGGCCCTGGACGCGCTCAACTCCGACCAAAGCCTGATCAGCCTGATCGTCCCTACCAGCCTGCTCACCTTTCTCGTCTGCCGTCTGTTCATCGCATCGCAGCCGTCTGATGGTGCCGGAGCTGGATCCCCCACGGTCGCGCAAACCATCACCAGCGCGCACCGCCACTCGCCGCGCAACGCGCTCATCCTGCTCCTGTTCACCCTCTCCTGGCTCTACGAATTGCTCTTCAAGTGCTTCGGCATGTTCATTGTAACGCTGGTTGGCGGCTTCTTTTTCACGGCCATCCACAACGATGCCCTCGTCGCGAAGAACGGGACCGACGTCAGCGAACTGGAGTCCACGGCGATGGCGGGGATGGCCGATTTCCAGGACAAGACCGGGGTCGACCCCACGCAGATAATCAAGGCGATCCCCCCGCGCGCGCTGCTCTACTGGGTTTTTCTGGTGTGGGTCAACCTGGCGACCTTGGGGCTCTATATCTTGCGGCTGGCTTGGAAGTCGCTGAGGATGGTGCTTGGGGGTCCGATTGCCGCTCCTGCGGTGGCTGATGAGAAGAAGGTAGAATGAGGGAGGCATTTCGGTCGGGAAACGATTCAATGGCTTTCTGTTTTGTTGGCAATCATCACAAGACGCGGTAACAGTTGGTGTACATATGACTGTTTCACCCGGCCGGGGACCAGGTAGGAGAAGTACTAGCCTTCACTTGGATCTACACCATTAAGTCGCCGAGAACACCCACTTTATAGCCCATCATAGACCTCACACCCCACAGACTGAAAGACGGTCGCCTCCTCAATCGTCCTGACTCACTCCGTCAGCGAAAAAGCTTGCCTTCAGGTAATCGATCCCGCAGTACCAATCCCCATCCCCCACGACAAACATACTTGGCAGACTCAGCGGGACGAGCATCAACGCCCCGTCATCATCAGCCCGAACCCGAGCCGATACTACTCGCACGTCTCACACGCACTCCGCATGGCATGGTCGAGGCATTCTCCCTCCAGGCAATCCGCCAGACCCATCACCGCCACAAGGTATCCCCCCTTGTTGGAGCGGATCCGGGTCTTGCCCTGGCAGAGAGACAGCTGGAATTGAGCGCCATAGTTGTATGACCAGCCGCGGAAGGCCAGCTTGCCTCTGAAGTTGTGCGTGTCCCCGGAATTGCGGGAGCCGCTGTTGATGGCATACAGAACGAAGCCGGTATCGGGCTGGTAGAGATGTATTCCCTCGGCAGAGATATAGACTTGCTCGGGATCCTCGGGGTGTGGTGGTGTCGGAAAACATCGTCTTTGTGATCGGGATGACCTTTTAGCTCTCCGATGCATTTTTCATTGTAGAAGATTCGGGTCTCGTCGGTCGAGAGGAGGAATATGCTACTCTTCCAGTGATAGTCACGCTCCAGTATGAACCAATTATCCTGGTAGTGAACGGCGAGGTATTTTCCAGTAACTATGAATCGAACAAGCTTCCGGCACGCTCATGCTCCAGGAGAGGCTGTTTATATGATCTGGATGCCAGGTGAGACGTGCTGCACTTTCCGAAGGATGTACGCAGGTGAGAGTTTGGGTCCGGGGATTCAGGGCCCTTTTGTACGCCATGTGGGTCCCGGGCACCCACTGCGTCTCCCAGCCTCGATTGAAACAGATTAGAGTCCTCCTAAACAATGGAATATGCGCTCAATCCAAGATAACATAGGATCCAAGCGAGGAATTGAGGGCCTTGTCTCAGCCAAGCCACCATAACAACATCATCACCCTTCCAGCACGGACACGCCTTCGAGCAATTCCAAGTATTTACTTCGGATCTGCTCGCAAACACCCCAGATCCTCCGTCGGTTAGCCAACCCAAAGTCATAGTCGTCATTCTCAGCCGTGTATCGACTTCTACGATCAATGTTGAGCAACAGCTCTGAAGCCCGATATTCCACCTCCTGAGATTGGAAAACGTCACAGTCCGCAAGTTCCCACAGCCACGGCACCTCGCATGCTAACTTCCGCCTCCAGACTCTGGCAGGCAAGGGGGTCGCATGCATCACTGCAGAAGCAGCCTTCAGAGAAAGGATCGAACCAACTGGCAGGGCTCTAAAGAGCTCATGACGAAGCTCAATTGGCAATCGACTGAAAATTTCCTGTTGCTGAGGGCCTGTCTTCGCCGCCGTCTTCTTACTCATTCCGCGATACTTTGTGATCCGGCCGAGGTGAGCATCCAACTCGGGTATCTTGACCGGATTCACCACCAGGACCTCCACAAACCTTAGCCGATAGTCTCTGACGCACGATCCTACACAGGGCTGGCTGTGACTTCAACTTACCTCTTCGCCCTTGTTGGCTTCCCAGTATTGTCCTTCTGGCGGATTTGGCGCTCCGTAGTCCACATTCAGCCTGACATAGCCCCAATCATGCAGAGCTTCGAACGCATTGAAGAGCACTTGGCGTTGGAGCTGCCGGGACACTTTCCAAACGCATCGCAGAAGGATATCCTCGTAGCAGATGAAATGGAAAGGGAAGACATGCGGTGCCTCCTCGTCGTTCTAATCCTGGTATCTATTGGTAGGTTTTAGCGCAGGTCTGGGTAAGTCAACGCGGTGACCCTACGCAACTAGGTTTATGTCCTCTTGAGGCTCCAGATCGGGGCGCTTCATGACAAGGTTGGGGTCTGAGGAGAGCATGAATTAGCTGGAGCCAGCTTGGTCGCCAGGGGGCGAGGGGGGCGGGGGCGGCGGGGGGGCTACCATTTCCGATGGCAACATCTATACACCCCTGATCTGGAAGGTTAGCCGGTAATGGATTGATTCTCGAATGGGTATTGTAGACTTACCATGCCAGGGTAACAACCGAGACCAGTTAGATATGATCTAGCATCGGTAAGAATACATGTCGTTTTGGTGGTGTTGAGGGGAAGGCAATGGGAGCGCACCTATCGGTTGCGGGTGAGTCCGCATTGATCCCCAGGGCACGGACTTCATCGAGCCATTTCATGCTGGAGTTTTTGAGGATCTCGTAGCGGTAGTGATTTTGCTCGGTTCCTTTCGGGTCGATATCCACCCGGCTGGAAAAAGGAGCCCCGCAAATCGCACAGTAGATATCCCACTCTCCCATTCTTGCTGCTTGAGCGCGGTATGGTTTTTTTTGGTTTCGCTGACGAGGAGGCTCATATGTAAGAAGGGACAAAAACGACATAAAAGGGGAAGAAAAGGCGGATAGATTTATACATAATTCTTACTTTGACTATATGCGTCCACAACATTCCAGGCAGAAACTGCTGGCTGCCTGGAACGAATCGGTAATCGGGTTTGTTTGACACGTTTGCAAGTGACATGCGATATGTGGGATCCGACGCGACAGGGCTGGCTCAACGACCTTGGCGAGCACATACAACACGAACTGCAGCAAATGCACATCTTGCACGCCTTCGTCTGATGTCATTTGGGCCCAAGTATCAGTCAAAAAGAAATCATGAAGAGAAGAAATATACAAGTTTGATGTGAGGTGCATTTTGATTGGTTCACAGGAACAGAGAAGAAGACAACAAAAAGGAAAAATGTGCTCCCACGCGGATTCGAACCGCGGACCTCATGATTACTAGTCATGCGCTCTACCAACTGAGCCATAGGAGCCTCTTTGTTGAAGTAAACTTTGCGCAGCGTAATATATGCGTCATTTGCTTTAGCAATATCACTTGACCTTCAACACCACTCGCTGGTTTAAAAGTGCATCGGCAGTATGACTTGACTTCCTTAGATTAAATTATGTGTCTCGTTGTTCAACTACTAGCAAGACTAGTTAATGAAGGCTTGGAAATACCGTCTTTTTTCTGTGCTTATGGTTTCGAAGGGGCGGTGGGGTAATCTATATATTTTTCAGGTTACGGTCAAGTTTGCGTCTTGCGCACCGGGCCGACACACCCAACCAATTCTCACCGAGCTCGATTATGAGGTAATCCGAACCATCTACAAGCACCCACAACACAGGAGGTACTCATGAATCCTGTATCTATCATATAGTTGGAGGGGATTGTATTCACCGAAAAACCTTTGCCAAAGGGGTCAACCGATCGAATCTGCACCAGCAAGTGAATGCTGATACCAGGGCACCAAATACGAGTATGAGATAATTCACAAAGGGCCTTCGAGACATGGCTGGATACTACAGCAATAGTTCACTTTATGCGCCTGGATTTGTGTTCTTCTTACGGGGTAGGGGCTCTCGTCGTGGCTTCACCGAATTCTAGCTTGTCCTGTATGGTCAATGCCAAGGTTTCTGCTATTCATTCTACAGTACCTCACATACAAACTCTAAACCATGTCAGCATCTTCCCAAGTCTCTAATCGACTGATTACCAAGTAGGAGGAATGAGTGGCAGATCCGTTCAACAACTGAACAAGAATCGACATGCGGATGTAACCCTCAACGTTACGGGTCACAGGTGAAAAATATGCTGCCTTGCAGTAACTTACTACACTGTCATATATCGAGCAACAGAGAACCCATCTCGACGGATAGTCATTGCCGAAGGATCGAGTTACCATCGTGGTTTTTGATTGATGCCTGGCAATCTAGACCCACTGGGGAAGGGTCTCCGGAGTATTGTGGAGATGGTGGAGTTGGGCCCATCTTATCTTCTTGGCGAGTGAGTTGGCTCCGCTCGTCAGGCAACCATCTTTCATCTGCTAGAAAACTCGATTCTTACCACTTTCGGAAACGACGTAAACTCCTTCGTCCCAGGTGATCTCCATACACCAGCTTAGTGCTGATGCAGGAACCAACATGGATAGATCATTGGCGAGATCCGAGCTACAAGATGGAGATCTTTTGGGGGCTTAGACGTTAGACATGAGACTTGACCAACCAACCAACGCCAATCCTGTGCAGTACATCTTTTGCCAGAGGTCATGATGCTTTAGTATATTATATAACATGACTTAGGCGTTGGCGTATCTTGCATCTTATATAAAGCCCTGCTCCCC